AAAGAGCAACTTTTTTATATCTATTCAATTTATAACCGACATACAAAAAGAAGTAGTCTTAATTTAGCTATAAGTATTTTTTAATATTTAGTAGCTACGTATTTAATATGTCTGACTGTCTATAGTGAAACATGTAGGTAGTCACAAGATTTAAAATCTTCAATTCAATTTAATTATCTTGTTAATTCTTCAAAACTTGCCAGTGGAGATTAAAAATCTTATGCTTTTGCGTTAAAGTTAGTAAGGGGGGTTTATTTCGAAATTTTTACCGTATTATTACGTCAATAAAAAAAAAGTAAAACTAAAAAATATTATTGTAAGGAAAAAACAGCATAGTTGTGCAGTAAATTGTGACTTGTCAATGTACTGTTGCAGTGACAAGCGATAGAAGATTTATGGATGTGCTAAATAGAATATTTATCATTGTTACATTAAATCATCGGTATATAGGCGACATGAAAGCCGATGCGGACAGCTTTGACAGGAATATTGCTTCATTTTTGATGAATTTCTAGCCCATAAATTATATTTGTATAATATAAGTATTATTAGATTTTTTGAAACTATGTATTAAACTTGATTAAATTGGTAACAAGTATATAAATATTTTATTTTATATTCTTCAAGGAAAATTATTATATGGACATAAATAATATAAGATAATTATAATATAGGTAACATAAAATTTGATTTTGTGTTCGTTTGTTTGTCCTGAATAGGCTCCGAAACTACTGAACCGATTTACATGAAATTTGGTAAAAAGATAATTTGAGTCCCTGGGAAAACATAAGATAGTTTTATCCCGGAATTCATCCCTCAAGCGAGGTGAGAATGGGGATGAAATATATAAATAAGCAAGCTGTGGTCTCCTATAAGTGAAGGAGCACACGTGTTGTGTCTTAATTGCTTTTTATGTTTTTAAATGATGATGTATATAGTGTGTAACTTTTGTTGGAGATCCTAAATAAAATAAAAATAATGAAACAAAATTTCTTTACATTAAATTTATTATGAAATATCATATCTTTTTTTAGTTCAATTATTTAATATATATAAATATTTGAATTATAGCCACAACAAATTATATGTATATATAACAAGTATTGACTCTATATAAAAATGAAATAAAAAACCTGGTAGCTCACGAAAACAATTAACGGTACCCTGAAATTTGGGGTCATTGACCGACCCTGCGACCACGGGCATCCACATTACGCGATATTGTGTAATAATAATATGCGTATAAAAGTTGAACAATTGAAGAAGTCTTATAACTTTAGATAATCTTCTATTTTATTGTAAAAACTAGTTTACTTGATGTTTTCCTAGAATAAAATATATGACATATGGAGAATGTTAATTAAAAAGCATGTCTAGTTTTTAAAAGTACGCGCTACAGTTTCCACATATGACAGAAATAATATATAAACTTCCATCCAGTTAGTAAGATACTAAGAGTATTCTTTTTAAAAGTAAATTATAAAGACCGCTAATGCAAATATTAGGTTGTAATCATTGTTATTTTCATAATATTTTTATTCATATATTCTTCCCTAAGAATATTTTTTTATATTCTACCCCAAAATAGAAAATCTTTTGTGTTTTTTCGGTTAATTGTAAATAGTACTAGTAGATAGGTGCACCAATAATTATTGACATAAATTTTGTTTGTTGATCTTGTTTAATATACATGAAAAACCATTTAACACTTTCTGTATAGTAGTAACAAAATTTTCATAAAACTTTTTTTTTATGCGCCGTAGAGGAAGATGGACGTAATTTCTTAGTGTTATGTGTCCGTAACGCTGACAGGAGGTTTTAACGTTTGCTAGAATGAGGAGTTTTTCAAGGCGCTGTCTAAACCAGACTCAGAGATAGCCAAAATGATATATCAATTTAAGTTAAAATAGGTGATAATTATAAGTTTTCATTTGTATTATTAGCGGTATAAATGTATTAAGGGAACGATGGGACTGACATTTAGTTCTTTTGCTAAGAAGTCCCTAAATAAAAATAGTAAAAACGAACTCTTACACAAGGAATCCTTTTTTATAAAAGTATCCGGTAAGTAATAACATCAATAACATTGAAATTCTTCGAGCCGCTTTCACGTAAAGCCTTTCCAGACAGGCAAACTACATTTATCTTTAAAAGATTAAGCCTATTTTAGGATCGTTATCTATACTTTATTTAATTAGACTGACCGTAACATATACTTAAAAATTATGTATAGCTTGAATATGGGTCCTTAATTAAATTACTCTTTTTATATGAAACATGCTGTGAGGGATTTTCAGATAAATAACCCATATTAAAATGTATTCCATCGAAAGTCAAGCGTCTAACATGGCTGTGACACCATTTGTTTTAAAATAATTTTATTGTAATAACTTGTCGTACTAAAAATCATATTTTTGTGTAAACTTTCTTACACAAGTTAAAATGTATTTGACGATAAATATTAAGCGCTCCGTTTCTGTGCAGTAACTCGGTGATTTATAACCGCTAATTGCGAATTTGCCTCAACCACGGGCTCATTACTGGTCGATATATCAATGCATCCTAGCTATAAAAATGAAATTATTCCAATTTAATTTTAACCCATGAGCTATTTTCGTAATTAAGGGGCACATATAAAGCGGAAGATATGATGGCCATGTGCGGACAACGCCTCACTCCACCGCTGGCTCCATGCCCATTCAATGAATTATTTATAAATTGTCTACTTATGATTAATTTGAGTGAACCGCTTGTTGTAAGGGGAGGAAACGTATGTATACAATATTAGTGTTCCTGAAAAGAAATTATAAATAGTCAATCACTATTAAGCAACAAGGCTCCAGTCTTCTTCCAATACAGTAAATTATACTTTTACCATTTAGAATTATGCAAAGTTGACGTTAAAATTAAAAACTTCGTAAGCTCTTTTTATTTATCTTTCTTGTAAAAATGTTATTTTGGTTTTATTTTCCCACACCCACATATAAGAGAAACATTTATGTGGTAAATGCACTGTTCGTTGTTTTCAAAGGAAATTTTCCGCTTATCACCCTTGACACAATTGTGGAGCTCGAGAACAACGGCGTCGCGCATGCTGGATCCTGGATCATTGTCTCATTTATATGTACAAATTAATTAAAAGCACAGTAATACACTTTGCAACAGTTTAACTTTTAAAACAGTATATACCTTCGTATAATAATTCAATTAATCACGTACTAGACGACGATGATAGCAAAGTGCTATTCGTGGAACGGCTATTTTAGGCATGTTTGAATTACTTATCAAAAGCTTTACTAAATTGGGTCACGTGTCTCTAAACATAAGGGCCATGCATTTTATATTGTATAAATAATTAATCAATTTAAAAATAGGTAAATTATATTAATTGATATATGTATATAGAAAAAAAGACTTTGCTCCTTTTATTTAAATATAACTAAAAAAGTAAAAATATGTTTTGAATTTTATTTAAAACCCTAGCGACTTAGCGACTTACCTTCGCTCGCTCGGGTTCGTCCCTAGCTGATTCTTTAAATTGACATAACTTTTTTATTTATGAACGGATTGAAATAAAACAAACACTAAATGTTAAGTGAAGCTTAATATAATACATTAGTGAAAACTCCAACTAAATAAGTGTGCACAAACGCAATGACAAACAGACAAAAATTCAAAAAATTGTTGTTTTGGGTTCTATTGCGTTAATAAAGACCCCCAATAATAGTCTTTCTCAAATATCTTCCACGTACAGACAGCGATTAGTTACACTTTTATTATATGTATAGATGTATTGTATTTTATTACATATTTTTTAATACTTTAATTTTTTTTATATATGTACATCAAACATAATGAATGAACTTGATAATTTCATCGAGAAAATTTTATGTTATAGATATGAAAAACGTAAATCTCTATATGTTAGACGTGAATATAATACGTACAAATCATTTAATAGGTATACTTAAAATACAGAACATAAAATCAAAGTAGGTCATCTCATATATAAAATAACATATATACCTAATAAAACCTTTATGTTATCCGCATTGGTTGGTTTGGTATTCACGATAACTTTATTTGGCTACTTGGTGCCCATTGACAGATATTGATGAGTCTGACGTTGCTCTCAGCTTCCCTTGCTATATTTTGAGTAGGTTCATATGGCTGTAGTCGAGACTTAATGGACGGGGAGGTTTATTTATGTGATAGCATCGTAAAGACGACACTGCGATAATATGATCCGATATATAGACACTTTGGATAACTTAATGATATTCTCGATATTAAGCCGATGGGCCATAACAGCATTTGAATGTAGACTTATAATAAAACATAATTAGTGTTTTATATAAAAAATATTGTATTAAACGAATCGGAAGTATAATAAAATTTATGTCTATAGTTAAATTAATTTTAGACAGCATATTCAAAGTTTAAGTTTATCAGTTGGTTCTTCACATTCTTTTATTTCTTGGATTCCAGTGTCGACTGGAGCGAGTGTATTATACGACGAATTCGGATGCGTCAACGATTCTATAATAGTGTTATAACTTAAAAGCATTTACTAACTACATGTAAATATATTGTAACTTGCTCAAGAGACTTCAGTGGGCGAAAAAGTGAAGGCGGCTGCGGGCTGAGTACCTATTGTGTTGGAGAGCGCCTGCAGCGATACCACCAGCGCTCTTGGGAAATATGATGGGCCAACGATTGCTAATTATTATAAGTTGAGACTGTGCGCTGCATTGTGCTGTAAATGATGTTAAACTTTAAAGTATTCATAATCAGTACAATTTGTAGACTATAAAAATTGTGCAGAAGATTTTTTTTAAAGGAACAAATTGTACAGGTACTTTATACCTACATAAAATCACGTCATGAAAAGACCATCCGTATTTTGTGATAGAATCATATTTTTTTGAAATTTAATTGTTGATCTATTCGCAGAATTTCCAATATAAAAAATAATAAAAATAAAAATTTCATTGTTCCAGATTTCCGTTGTTTCCAGCAACAAATTACAAAGGTTTGTTTTATTATTTTAACAGGCATACTATTGAAAGAAATGTAATAATAAACTTTATACGCGCAAAGCTTCACGTGCACAACAGAAACTAAATACCTGAACATTTTGCGATTTTCAATACTCGATTGTAAAATTCCTTTTCGGCAAATCAGTCTTGTTCATTAAGTTGAACTGGGTTACATTGATGTAAGAGTTACTCGTCCCGGTTCTAGTATCTATGATATTTGCTTTCTCCACCGCGCTAACATTATCGAAAAATCTATCACTCTTTTATATCTCTTCTCTTTATATAATTAAAGATTAATACTTATTATATATATTTTTGTCAAGTAATAAGTAGCTTAAGTTATTCCTTATAACATCAGCTATCTGCCAGTGAAAGTCCTGTGAAAATCAGTTTAGCCGTTTCTGAGAATAGCGGGAACAAACAGACAAGCAAATATTAAAAAATGAGCTTTTCTTAAAAGTACCGCTAATAACCAGCTACCATAATACCAAATTTTATCAAAATCCCTCAAGTGGTTTTTCTGCGATGCGGTAACAGACAGACAGACAGACAAAAATTCTAAAAACTATAGATTCGGACTCTGTATCGATAATAATGTCTATTTCAATAAGATTTTCCAAAAAATATCTAATGTACAGATTCGGCTTAGTTACAATTTTATTATATGTATAGATATGTCATTCTCATACTTCAAGATTAGTTAGATATTAGCGTTAATAAACCGTACATAAACAAAAGTTATATTTCAATTAAGGAAAAACATAGTGTTTTTCTTATTCTTACAATTATCATATATCATTATATTGTACATGAATCATTACAATAGATATACAATTCGTTACAAGTTTACTACATACTAGTAGTACAATTTTCATTATTTCCTAAACTACATATGTATATAACAAATAACATACTGTAAAAGGCAAATTATTTCTCCATTAAGTATTTGTCATGATAAAATAATTTATTAATACAAGGATACCTAGTCAAAAAATCTAAAAAAATCTGCTAGAATATAAGAGTTACTGTATGATATCGGATATAGATGTACGAGTATGTTATTAACGATTTTTTGTAAGAACGTACGTATTAAGGGCATTGTACGTCCAGTAGATCTCGGGAGTAGCGCGCCCATAGGTATCTACTAACAGACGATATTAAATAATAACTACAGAAATAAAATTCTTTAAAATACATCTTTTACTAATAATAATAAATAAGGATAACATATTATGACAGTGACTCCGATATCCAGTTTTTGCAGATTTGTAGCTGGTTTCGTTCCTTGCTATTTTCCAGTTTCTCTCATGGGACAACTGTTTGAATAAGTCTTACAGGTCACGATCTGGTTAAGACAAAACCATTGGGGATCGCTATACTAGACGAAATAATCTACTACTTGACTTGACTAATTGAATTGATAGTCCTAGAAGCATATGTTATGCACGTATATTTTTTTAGATTTCTTTTATTTAATGATTGTAGTAAGACGTCTTTTCTAAGCCCCCTTATTAGCTTAGACATTCTATTCCTAAAGGGTAGAGTGCTATATTTTTAACAGGGTCATTAACGTTTTAACATGGCATTTGTACATCATGCATATAGGTTTGTACATATGTATGTTATTAATTCAAAACCATTACAAGTACGATGAAAAGATATAACATGTATGTCGCAATAAATGATGATCGTGTTCATTTTGTGGTCAGGTTTACTACCATGTGGTCAAAGGGGAAATATGCCACAATAGTATAATGTATACATATTCCTATTGTAGAACTGTAACGGAACCGGTTTCTCTCGGTCTATGTTATCTAGGGGTATTTAACCGGTATAATATGCAAACTCCTTTACCTTGCTCGGCAACCAGGAAAGCAGTTAGTACAAAATGTAATTTACGGGACTCGGCGTGTGGCGGTACGAACTAATCCAATCGCTGCACCGGACGGCTTACTCTGTGTACTTAAAGCATATAAATAATATAATATTCATCTTGCATTTGTCGTATAAAATTGATTATGAAACTAAAATTATGTTTTAGATAAATTATTGATATTTTTACCTTATAGGACCTAATAATTTCAATAATCTATACATATTTATAATAAAATTGTAACTAAGCCGAATCTGTACATTAAATATTTTTTGGAAAATCTTATTGAAATAAACATTCATTATTATCGATACAGTCCGAATCTATAGTTTTTAGAAATTTTTGTCTGTCTGTCGCATCACAGAAAAACCACTGAAGGAATTTTGATGAGACTGGTATGGTGATAATTGGTTACCGGGTCAACATATAAGATACTTTTTACCTCGGGAAAATATCTCATTTCTGAAAAAAAATACAAAAACTGCATTGTAAGAGTATAACTACTTATTTTGTAAAACCTAAGAATTTGGTTTTTGGTCATCTGAACGCGGGAGGAGCCGCGGGCAATGGTAGTTTGCCAAAAATAATAGATATGTATGCCAGTATTAAAATAGAATGTATATGTTGTTATTCACATATGTATTATGTACCTACATATTAAAGTAAAGCCGTGATGTAATTATAGCCGTAGTAATATAATTACAATTCGGGTAGATAGTTCTCCGAAAGCGTTTTGTATACGTACTATATTACTAAGTATGTAACGATGAGATAGTTTCTATCTAGTCTATATAGTAAAAATGAATGGCTAAATATGTTGCTAAACGCAAAACTTGAGATCGGCTAGACCAATTTGGCGATTTTTTTTGCATATTCGTTGTAGTCCGAGTAAGGTTCTTATAAATAGAAAAATTGGGAAACAATTCACGGAAAAACGTAAAAATCACATTTTTCATTTTCCTTCCTACTACTTTATAATTATGAAAGCAACTTTAAAATTAATATAAGTTGATGTGAGTTGTATTATAACGTGTTTTCATGTGTGGGAATGAGATAATCTCTCGCAGTAAAAACTAGCCTATGTCACTCTCCAGCCCTTCAACTGTCTTCGCACAATAAAATCACGCCAATCTGCCAATCTATTTTGACATGAAACAAAGACAAACAAACAAACAAATAAACACACTTTCACATTATAATATTACTATGGATATAGTTCACCTATTCCATACTAACCGTTAAAACGTACCTAGGGACGAACCCTAGCCACGCGAGGGCGAGTCGCAAGTAATGTATGTACGAGTATATCTGAATCAATTTAGTGATATATATTAAAAAAAATCGCTGAAAGAAAAAGAAAATTTATTATATTTTATTTTTACTTATGTCTAAAAAAACGATAAAAAAACGATAATAATAAAAAAACGATTCAATAATATATTTTTCTCTCGTAATTAATAAAAAGTCAAGTGCCCTTTTACTTTGTAATACAACGCAAAACCAAAAAAAATGGGAGCCTTACGTCTTTCTGTGTATTGGCCCTATAGTATATTCCTACTTAATATGTATATAGATAGTGACACAATGATGGAATAAATAAATTTTGATCTTAGGGGTTAAAATAGAAAAAAAAATAACCTTATTATCTATAATCTACATTCTAGAAAATTCACCTATTAGGATTTTTTTTTCTTAAATGTAACATTACCCTTTACCTCGTATCACTCAAGTACGTTCGGCCAACAAATACTATTCATAATCATATTAGACTTGGGCCACGTTATGAGTTATGTTTAGTATGCGTCCCTAGGTACGTTTTAAATTGATCAAAATAGTTATTGTAAGCTTTTCTTAATAATATATAAATTATAGGTCTTTAAAAGACTTACAATTTTCTAGTACATTGATTTAATGTATCTCTAAAGGATTAACCAGCTTTAGCCATGTAAGCGTACGAAAACAGATTTTTTAAAAAAACAGCGAAATACCTCATTATGTACAAATTCTATAACCAAAGCTTGCTCGTTTATTTTATTAGTGAAAACCTTATCAAAATCCATTGCGGCTTAGAAGAATTGAGCTGAGAAATAAACATAGGCTAACAGCAACTTTGTTCGTTTGCAGATGAGTGATATGCGCTCGAACTAAATTTGCATTTTCCCATGAAAAAAAGAGATTTTACCGAACCAGTTATTGTTTTCCCATAGGACTGAGATATTTTCCTGTTCTAAATGTTGACCCGAATTTGTTATGAATTTGTTATGAATAAAATATTACTAACCAATGCACCAAGAGCAAAGAAAAGCAAGAAAAAAAGGTTCGTTCTAGTACAAATACTACTGGTAATACAAGAAAATTCAATCAAATCAATTTAACCAAATCTCTAAACAAAATACTACGGCCTTACGGTGAAGGAAACCATCGTGAGGAAACCTGAATATCTAAGAGAATCCAACTATGTAGTTTTCGAATGTCAATTGTCACTTGTATGTTATCCTCCTTTATGTGCTTGAGGGACATTTGTCTCCTTTGAAATAATAACGCCTTTTCCCAGTTTACCTGCTTTATGCGGGTTTTTGAAGTCTTTAATTTTTATTAATAAATATATAAATTAGTGATAGAAATTGACACTACTACGAGTATGTTGTTTTATTATCTATCAAATAAAATGAAATGTGTTATCATTATTAATTAAAAATAAAAATTGTTGGGCCTTACTATTTACTATTTATTATAATACCTTTGCTAACTAATTTCATTGTTTGTTACTCTCTGTATTTTACATATAAGTGCAATAAAGAATAGTATATAATACATTATTAGTTAGCTTATCCGCTCTAGGCCACCTTCCCCTAATGAAATGGTTTCGTAAAACTATATGTTGATGTAGATATTATATGGAATACGATTATACTCGTCTCACTAGGTTTATAATTATTAGGAGTAAGTATATGAAGTTTTAAGCAAAAATAGTACTTAGATTTTGTGAAGTTTTTCCCATTATTTTAAAAAATACAATCAAATCATAATTAAATTTGGTCAATGACTGTGTTTAGACTATTCTATAATATTATAATTCATAATAATATAATAATACGCATTATAATTCAAGTCCTATAA